TTCCCATATCTCCTAGCGTGCACTTTAAACGTTGGTTAGGCCAATTGTCAGTAGGGATGCACCGATGGATCGGCATTCGATCGTAATCGGCCGATAGCGCCCCTATCGGTTTTGATCGGAATTTTCAAAATAGATCAAAGCAGACCGATCAGGTAGGGTTGTCACGGTAACCAGTGTAGCAGTAAACCCCGGTAAAAAAAAAAAAGTTGACAATAATAATAACCGTCTTGTTTTAAAAAAAACGGGTTTACCGTGGCTGCGGTGTAGGCGCGGTGACCCTTACCAGCCACCGTATCATCGGCTGAAGTTGCCGGTGGCACATGCACGCTTTGTTGTTTACAACCAAAACTTTCTTGAAGCTAAAGCTGAAATAATGGCCTAAGGAGGAGACAGCAGCGATCAGGAGGACATTTATTATCCCTCAAAGAAGACAAAGTCGTAAGTGCGGGCATATTTTAGATATTTGAAGAATGCCGAGGGAGTTTATAGAAGACGGCTATCCTGTTTGCAGCACGTGCAGAAAAAGAGTCTGTGAAAGGCAGCCTCGCTTCAAATCTCATGACACATCTGCGTGACCATCACTCACAACTCTACAGTCAACGCAAGGCAAGCTAACGTTAACGTTTTAGCTCAAATGCGTGATCCGAGGATTTGGGTTGAGGGAGAATGCAACGAGTTGCTATATAAAGCAGCCGCAGCGTCGCTACCTGCATATAAACCGTGTCGCAGACACCCCCATGTTGAAATGACGCTATGCATTATGGGGCTCCCAGGGGCAGATAAGAGTTGGTCTCTCTCCGAGAATAATTATGAATTTAACAATGATTACTGCCTGATGACATTTTCCCACATCTGCAAAGCTCACTGGAAGGACACAAACCGAGGACAATATTTTCCTGATATAGGGTTTATTACTCAAGTAAGGGTAAAAAAGTATCTGAGTAGAAGACTACTTGAGTACTGAGTATCATCTGATCTAATATTTTTTAAATGATGACATCAAACAGACATAAAATAAGAAGTTATGGGCAAATATTGTTATTTTAAAGACTAAAGGGAAAAAATGTAAACAAATAAACAACATAATTACAAAATAACACATTTTAGGCTAAATTTAGACACAAACTGAGGACAATATTTCCTGACATACAGGGTTTATTTAATTGTGTGAAAATGTAGCACGTTTTAAAAAAATACCGCGATAATACCGAAAACCGTGATAATTTTGGTCACAATAACTGTGAGGTTAAATTTTCACACCGTGACAACCCTAATACAGACCATTTTAGATTAGGTTACATTTCCTTTATTCCCAGATTATGTAGTTTGTACCACTCATTATAATGTAGAAAATTTCTGGCCAATCCACGTGATCGGTATCGGTGATCAGCATTCTTTGATATCGGTATCGGTGATCGGCAGCAAAAAACTTGATCGGTGCATCCCTAATTGTCAGAAGATTCGGAAGGCGTTGTGCCAAACACACAAAAGTATCTCAACCACTAAACCTCACATCCATCCTATTCTGACATTATTGAGTGGAAGGAGAAATAGCTGAAGAGTTTGATGTATAAGATACGTTGTCATTAAAAGAGTAAACCCCAATACCAATAATTTAGGAAACTAATTTCAATGCCAATTTCAGCTGATAATGTTGAACATCCCTATCAAGTTCTAATTCGTTTAATAAATTGAGATTTTGGCAGTTTGCTGCGACAAAGGCTATGAATTGTCCGCTGAATGTGCTTGATGAAAACTGGGTCGTGCTACAGGACAATGATCATTAACACGCCAACAAAAACAAGATTCAGTGTGTTTATATTGTTCTAGTCACCGGCTCCAAAGTCCAGACTGAACCAACACGGGTCAGAGTTCTTATGCAAGGATGTGAGAAGCTGATAAGGTCACACACACAATGTTTACTTCAAGTTATTGATACAATCGGTGGTTTTTAGAAGTTGGTATTGGGTGTTTTTTATTTTTCATCTTTCATTTGGGATTTCTGAACAATCCTAACACAAAAAAGGTAAAACAGTGAAAGGGAAAATCTAATATATTAAAATAATGAATGTGATATTGAGTCAGTAACCTGAAAAGGTTAGATGTGATTGTGAAGCAGATCAGAAAAGCTTTGTTTTTGTCAACATCCATAGAAAACCGGCTTATTCACTGATATTCAGGATCCTGATGGTTTCTGCACTAATATATATTCATCCTCATGCTCTGCTTCCGTTGTTTATTTTTCCACTAGGCTCTCTGAGGTGAACCCTGGAAGTTAAACCCCAACGTATGATGTAAACGTCCTCTGGTAATATTAGATAGTCCTCTGTAAACTGCAGGAGTTTAAATACTATCCGGTTTTGTGTATTTTTCTCTAGGAGTGTGTTTATCATGAAAACCGTCACTGTGATTGTCTGTAGTATTTTGGTTTGTCCCTGTTGTACTCTGAGCTTTGATTATGGGTTTGAGAGACTCCAGCCTGTATTTATGCTTCTCTTTCTCTCTGAATCCTCCTGCTGGGGGTTAGGGGTTGTGCCCTTTGCTTTCAGCTGATGGGAGCTAGGTGGCCAGCTCTGGGCAACAAGCCCTCGCTAACAGGGACGACGTGTCCAAAGCCCCGCTGTCCTCCTCAAGGCTTTAAAGGCAGCGCACTGGCCTGCTCTGGGTTATTAGTGTGCAGATCACTAGGGAATTGACCCAGGCTGTGTTGGCATTTGCTGGCTAATTAACATAGTTTTCGTTCTGTGGGTAACGGTCAAACCGTCACTTTGCTTTGCTTTCCGTACATTATGGTTTAGTTGCTTGACGGTAGTCTACCCACCTTTTAGCAAAGGCATACATATAAACATAAATTGTGCATTTAATTTAAAATGTATGTGCGTGGTGATGTAAGAGCAGTAAATGGAAGGTTGAGATCCCTTAATCACATTCTATCAATTTTATGCAAAGGCACAACCTGCCTGTTACCGTTTTGGGAGACGATTGGCAAGTCTTCTGTGGAGCGTGAATGTTCATACAGATGTTTCACTTAAGTTAACGTCTTAATCCAGTTGCTACGCTAAGGATCTCAGTGACGAACAGTGGAATTTGTCATAATATTAGAGCTTTAATTCAATATTATTCAAATAAATGGGTCCAGTTTTGATGCGTTTATTCAGTCAAACTGTAGTACAAATCCTACATAAATCACATTAATGAAATTTCACAATGACCTTTAATGCCCTTAAATTTGTAAGTGGACTGCTACCCATTATCAAACTGTTGGATATGAATGAAACTAATTATTCGGTCTGTTTTTCTCCCGTGTCCTCCAAACCCCCCCCCCCCCCCCCCCCCCCACACACACACACACACACACACACTCACACACACTCTAGATGAAAACATCAGGAGCTAAATCCTTCTGTGCTCACCAGTGTAAACAGGTGGTGTTCTGTTGTTTCAGGATGTTTGTTTCTCAGCGCTGCAGCAAATCAAGCTTCAGGATAGACCATTTACCAATTCTCTACAAAAATGTGGACTAATGTTATCTTTGAGATTCTATGTCTGTATTATCTGTAGTTTTTTATTGGTCTTGTGTTTGTAAAGTGTTGCTGCAGTGGTGGATTTGTTCACGCAGCAACAATGGAGATAAAATGCATAAAAACAAGTTATTGAAATTCACAGCTGGAGGGAGCAAAAGAGAAAAAGAGTTACCTGTAAGCACACCTGGGGGGTTGTGACATACGCAGCAGCACAGGTGGTGTTTGTACATCACCACCCAAAGTGTCTCTGACTTTAGACCTCCCATCGTCTTTTAGCTTTTGTCCACTCAGGTCAAACTGATTATGTTCTGACTGAGCCATCCCCAAAAGAGTCCATGCTTCATTTTGACCTTTAGATATTTTGTTTTTCTTCTGATAAAAAGCCTCTCGACTGAGGACAAGGCGCTCCGGTTTAGGAAGGGAAAAATCCCCACAGCAGGACAGATCTTTACATAAGCACCAGTTGGCTCGTCATGCTGCCACATATCAGCTCCATAAATCCTTCACTTCACCATTTGTCCTTTCGTCTGTTTTGCTTGAGGTTTTAAAGGCTAACATTACGAACATTTCATGGTACTGAAGTTTTATGCGTTGTTGATGCAGAATTCCATGATGATGATCGGGAATTTCCAATTTCCTACTTTGTTGAAGTGAAAGGAAATGGCAAAAAAGAAGTGATTTCCTTGTCAGGACAGCGCATTTAACTAAAAAGTGATTTTCCACGACTTGGAAGACAGTTACACATTAATGTAATTATTGGTGTGGTACGCTTCAGCGGCTTGGATTGTGTTACATCAAGGTGAAAAGGACAGGACTTTTATTTTTAAACAGTCCAGTCAGAAAAATACACTTATATTGGTTTACTTTGTAGAAACAAATGTAAATAGGTAATTGATTCAGATTTTAAGGCCCAACTTAAAGACTTTTATCTAGTGGCTGACAAATATGATTTTTTAAGGCCGATTCAGATTTTAAAAGAATTTTGTTGCCGATTGCCGATATCTAAAGCTAATTATTAAGGCTGATGTATGTGCGTGTTTTAGCAGCACATGGATTGTGAAAGACAACTGAACACTCACTGTGTGAAATATAAATTAAAGAAGTCAATAAATCTCTTAATTAGGGGTGCACCGATCAGGTTTTTTGCTGCCGATCACCGATACCGATCACGTGGATTGGCCAGAAATTTTCTACAACATTATAATGAGTGCTACAAACTACATAATCTGGGAATAAAGGAAATGTAACCTAATCTAAAATGGTCTGTATTAGGGTTGTCACGGTGTGAAAATTTAACCTCACGGTTAATGTGACCAAAATTACCAAGTGTTAAAATCCTTAAGTGTAGTTTTAAAGAAAAGTCAAAAGGAAAACGATGAGATAATTTTCCAGCTTTGCTTTGTTCCATCTAAGTCTAGGAGGCTGTCAGTAAAAACTGCTTTTGTAATTGGTTCCTTTGTTTTGGTTTCCTAACAGATAAGGCGAAGATGGTGGACCGGCTTGCTAACAGTGAGGCTAACTCCAAACGGATTGGATTGGTGGAGAGCTGCTTTGGCGCTGCGGGCCAGCCACTAGCTATCCCGGGCCGCGTACTGATCGGAGAGGGCGTCCTCACCAAACTCTGCCGAAAAAAGCCCAAGGCGCGGCAGTTTTTCCTCTTCAACGACATCCTGGTCTACGGCAACATCGTCATCCAGAAGAAGAAGTACAACAAGCAGCACATCATCCCCCTTGAGAGCGTCACCATCGACACGGTGCCGGACGAAGGCGAGCTGCGCAACGGTTGGTTAATCAAGACCCCCACCAAGTCGTTTGCTGTCTACGCCGCTACCGCCACGGAGAAATCTGAATGGATGAACCACATCGGGAAATGTGTGAGAGAATTGCTGCAAAAGAGCGGCAAATCCCCGACGGGCGAGCATGCCGCGGTCTGGGTGCCTGACTCTGAGGCGCCGTTATGCATGTGCTGCCACAAGGTCAAGTTCACGCCAGTCAGTCGGCGCCATCATTGCAGGAAGTGCGGCTTTGTGGTTTGCGGTCCATGCTCAGAAAAGAGGTTCCTCCTGCCCAGCCAGTCGTCCAAACCCGTTCGCGTCTGCGAGCACTGCTACACGGTGCTGATGTCAGGAGGCCTCGGGCCGCACGATTCCATCAGCCGGCCCACCTCCAACTTCAACAACAACACCCTGTCAGATGACGAGGACGACGACAACAGCAGTGACTGAAAGACAGCCGGAACTTTGAGGACCTGTCTCACCTCTGCCCCAAGGAGAACGTACTCTTCCCTCAGATTATCACATCACTATATTCCCATCTAGCTTCTTCCCTTTGCTGATTCACCACTGAGAGAATTTCACCTCTTGAGAATGAAGTTACCTTTTGCTTTGGAGTTTAAGTCTTTCTGTGAAGATAAAAATCAAAAATGCCTTCCATTAAATCCACCTGGGATAAAATACGTTCCTGAAATTCATCAGAAAATATGGAATTACTGGAATGATCGGCAGAAAGCTGGGATTTAATCTGGACTCTTCAGAGTTCTCCTCTGAAGTCATTGGGGTTAGCATATATTCACTACAGAAACAAAGGTGCTAATGGTTTCTCCCATCTGCTCAGCTCTTCTTTCTTTATTTTTCATGATCTTAAACAACGAAGAAACTAAAATTCGTCACTTTTTTTCATCCTCACCTAATTTATCCCTTTAATGACACCAAGCAGGGCTCTTTTCTAACAGACTGGCATTTTCTGCCCTATTTTTGTACATTTGTCCTCCGTAAATATTCTTTTACAATAACAAAATGTAGATAACACGCTAAACCTAGAGCTTTTTCTAGTAGACCTAATGCTGTTGCTTATGACAAATCAACTACAGCTCATCTCACTGAGTGTTGATCCTCTTTAACACGCTTTTGTGAGCGTTTCTGCCTTTACTTTTATTTAGTGCCTTCTAGCAAATTCATCACTACTTTTAGTGGGATGAAGCTGTTTTTACAGGAATCCAGGCTGCAAACCGTTTCCTGGGTGCGTTTGTGTGTCCAATGGCTAAAGACAGGTTGGGTTTTTCTCTGGTCAGCCAGTCAGTCATTCTTAAAGCGCAGATTTCAACCAAGTTTCAGGAATCTGTATAGATTACCTTTGTCTGACCCAGAGCATAAATAAATGGAGGGACGATCACTGAAGAGCTAACATCATGATTTGTTCCACCCACCTCTGCTGTTGTGGTTTAGACACGCTCAGTGTTAGTATTCTTGTGTCCCAAACAGCTTTTAGAGTTTTACCATCCTGGGAATTCTTGATGGAATCTCCAATGATGGAATCTGTTAGTTTAAGTTCACAGCTGGGGTGTATGGAAGTGGGACCCTGATTCCATGTTCACAATCTAAATCCGGTCCAGCAGCTGAAGCTGAGTCAGGATATCAGCGTGGCGTCTTCCTGCCTGTAACTCCTCCCGCCGCTGCTCTGAGTCATCAAACAAACACACCTCCTCTGAACTCTGCTCCTCTGAAAGCCAACACTTCCATCCTTCCTTCCTTCCATTTGCACCACCATGACTTTGTATTGTAACATATCACATGACACAAAGTGTGACGTCAGTCATGTGATCCGTCTCCAGACCAGGAACTGAGAACAGCTGTGGGTGGAGCTTGTACAAACGTACCTGCTACGAGTTGGGCTTCAGTTTCTGCTGCAGCTTCTTGTGAAGGTTCAGATTTTAAAAAGGTAGAAAACAGATTCAGCTCAGATGAACAGTTCTAGATGTATTTATGTAGAGATTAAAAAAACATCTCCAGTTTTGCATCATAAAAGGTGGAATATACAGCAATAATGCCATTAAAAGTAATAATATAATTTATTAAATTATGCATTTTTTTAAATTCACCTTTAATCAGTTTTTCCCTTCCAAAAAGTCTCCTTTGAGGTGTTTCTAGTTCTATTTCTTTGTTAAAATTTTACGTTTATGCCCACGTTTGAGGAAATGCCCGTCTAGTCGACTTATTTCTGAATGAATGGGTGAATCTTGAGTTATTTACTAATGCTGGACCTAAAGGGACCTTTTTCCTCTGCTGTTTTTGTCTCATTTCAGTTTTTAGCAGATGTTCTGAGCTCGTTTCTAGACGCTAAATTTTTCAGACCGGTTCTGGTTTGACTGGTAGTTTCTGACGATCGTCTATAATGTTACTGTAAATCCAGTTTTATGTTAAATGCTTCTGCTCTAAAAGCAGCACAGCAGAAGAAAGACAGGGATTTTCTTTTAGTTTGTCTTTATGTTGCTGCTATAAAAGCATGGTATGTGATTAGAGGAATTACCGGTTAATGTTCACTAACTAACTAAGCTTTGCTGTGGCTGATGTCCAGAAGCCTCGGGTTGGATGCACCTAAAGTCTGATCGGGGTCAGATCCGCTGACTGCATGTTTAATCCTAATGATTTTCTCTATATGTGCAGAAATGTTTGGTTTTTTCTTTGTTTTTGTTTTGAAATCGATTCTGCCAGAGGTTTTCCTCCTCGGCACCTGTGAGACCTCAGCAGCTTTGCTAACTCGCTCACAACAGACGGACGAGGCAGGAAGGTGTTTCATGAACCCGACACGGCAGCAGACCCGTCGGATGGTCGTTTAACCACCAGCTGCTTCTGCAGCTCATCAGTCCCTTTTCCCCAGAAAGGTCAAAGGTCAGCAGCAGGCAGGGAATTGAGATGTTTGAGTTCCTGTGTTTTTATGACACTTAAGTAACCTCTTTCTCCTGATTTCTGATCAGGTGGAACAGTTTCTTCAAAATTAAGCCAAAAATAAAGTAATAAAGTAGATGAAAATATAAAGAACTTTTCAGCACACAGATATCTGCTTCTAGCAGTTTCCTAATTAAAGAGCAAGTCACCCCCTACCAGAGTATTACTCCACTCCCACCTCCTGTTTGAAAAATGCAACAAATGCTGTTACCTAGCAGACCACACACACACACAAAGGCTCACAACGACATTGTGACATCATATGGTACCAGCTAACATCCTAGGGTACCTCTTAGCCAATAGCGATGGCAGATTTAAATTCAAATGCAGTGCAGATTTTTTTACTCGACAACGGCACAACACTGACAGTTTTAGGCAGAAAATTAAAAATGTAACTAAAATGCACTAAAGTGCAAAACTATTGACTACACGTGTCTGCAGCACGATTAGACTAGGGTTGTCACAGTGAAAATTTAACCTCACGGTTATTGTGACCAAAATTACCACGGTTTTCGGTATTATTGCGGCATTTTTTTTAAACGTGCTACATTTTCACACAATTAAATAAACCCTGTATGTCAGGAAATATTGTCCTCAGTTTGTGTCAAAATTTTGCCTAAAATGTGTTATTTTGTAATTATGTTGTTTACTTGTTTACTTTTTTCCCTTTAGTCTTTAAAATACCAATATTTGCCCATAACTTCTTATTTTTTGTCTGTTTGATGTCATCATTTTAAAAATATTAGATCAGATGACACTCAGTACTCAAGTAGCCTTCTAAACAAATACTTTTTTACCCTTACTTGAGTAATAAACCCTATATCAGGAAAATATTGTCCTCGGTTTGTGTCCTTCCAGTGAGCTTTGCAGATTTGGGAAAATATCATCAGGCAGTAATCATTGTTAAATTCATAATTATTCTCGGAGAGAGACCAACTCTTATCTGCCCCTGGGAGCCCCGTAATGCATAGCGTCATTTCAACATGGGGGTGTCCGCGACACGGTTTATATGCAGGTAGCGGCGCTGCGACTGCTTTATATAGAGACTCGTTGCATTCTCCCTCAACCCAAATCCTCGGATCACGCATTTTAGCTAAAACGCTAACGTTAGCTTGCCTTGCGTTGACTGTAGAGTTGTGGGTGATGGTCACGCAGATGTGTCATGAGATTTGAAGCGTTGCTGCCTTTCACAGACACTTTTTCTGCACGTGCTGCAAACAGGATAGCCGTCTTCTATCAGCTGTCCCTCGGCATTCTTCAAATATCCAAAAGATGCCCGTACTTCCGACTTTGTCTTCTTTGAGGGATAAAAAATGTCCTGAGCGCTGCCGTCTCCTCCTTTGGCTATTATTTCAGCTTTAGCTTCAAGAAAGTTTTGGTTGTAAACAACAAAGTGCGCATGTGCCGCCGGCAACTTCAGCAGATGGTACGGTGGCTGGTAAGGGTCACCGCACCTACACCGCAGCCACGGTAAACCCACCGAGATAATATAGTTTTTTTAAAAACAAGATGGTTATTATTATTGTCAACTTTTTTACCGCTACACCGGTTACCGTGACAACCCTAGATTAGACACGCATTTATATAGTTTATCAGAAATAAAAGTTGATTTGGGGGTGACTTGCTCTTTAAATGGATGAATCTGCTGCTGAAACTCCCCGGTGGTGTTTAAAAGTGTAGAGCTCAGTGACACTATCCAGCTGTGTGTGTGTTCACACTGTGAGCAGCATGCTTAGAACATGATTAAATTAAAGGTTTCTGTTCTCATACATATTTAAATTGAGGTTTATTTTGAGCAGCTTGTGGTTGAAACAAGTGCAGAGACGTTTGAGCTCATAATAATAAAATGTTTTCAATGTTGATTTATTTTTGTTGAGCTGATCGTTTCCATCAGATGTTGTTTTTTTGCTCTCGTTTTCAAAGTTATTGCTGTGCAATCTGGTGAAGCAATGAGAAAAACACATGAAATATTAACTCCAGGACTTGTCAATGTTCCTGGTATAAATGTTGAATTTGGAGGATTTTTCCTGTTGTGCTAAAACTAATATGTCAAGAATGAAATATAACTTCCATGTCAGGTTCTGGATTATGTTAGTTTGGGTTTTAGCTCAGATCAGTTGGACCAACTGTTCCGGTTGTCTGAAGGGAACATAAAAAGCCGTCTAATACATTCAAACACACACGGGACACAAGCAGAACGTCACCACTCAACTTTAGCTAATGGATAAAAAATGCTTTGATGCAAATTTAGAAATCAAATTTTAAACTATTCTAATGAGTAGTATTTGGTTTTTAAGCTTATAGAGTACAATTTTGCAGAATCAACATTCCAAAGGCTCATTTATGTTCTATCTGGATATGAAACAAAGAATTAACAGTCCCAGATTATTTGACACAACTCAAAAGAAGAAAAGTTTTTTTGAGAGACAGTTAATTTCCTGATCAATGTTTAATGAAATCCGATGGGTTTGAGTACTTCAGAGCTCACGCTGCTCAAAGCGTGACCGCCATCTGTGCAGATGATGTCACCTGGAGCCGAGCTGCATATCCTGAGAAGATCGCTGCTCCAGAAAGGAACGTTTCTGCTCCTTTTTTAAAAATGTGTTTATTTCTGTTCTTTCTCAGCTTCTGTTTTTATTTCCTGTTTCTGATCGTTAGGTGGAGGCGTTTTAAATTCCTTTCATGTTATATATTTTTTCTCCCTAAAAGGGCTTCAGCCAGAATGTAATGCTGCATATAGTCTGGAATACTAATGCTTTCTGAGATGTTTAATTACACTGTTGAGAAATAAAAGTATTGCTTAGAGTTTCTCTGTTTTCTTTCTGGGTTTTTGGGGGAGAAGCAAACTGTTAAAATATTTGGAGATGAAACCAGAGGTGGTGTCGGCTCACTTCATTTTCTGTAAAAGGTTTTAGTGGGAAAAATCTTTTTTCGTTATTTACTTATTGATTTGGTAGCCCATAAATACACTCAAAGATATAGTTATCCCATTTTAATCCTTATTTCTCCTTTATGCAAATAGTTATTGAAAAAAAAAGATGGTTGAATAAATAATACTATCCTAATACATTTCCTGTCCCTAACTTTTATATTATTTCACCTTTTAACCAGGTTTGGCCAAAATTAATAAATAAAAATGCAAAATGTTTATTTTATAGATTTTTCTCTTATTAAAAGTTTGGAACACAGGGAAAAAAACATTTTCTTATATTCGATCACGCTGAGGTTTTCATGGAGGCTCAACATGAAATGGTCTACCCCTATTTCCTGCATAAGCTTCTGGTAAATAGACATTGAAATGCTAGGATTTGAAAAGCCTGACAGTGTGACATCACACTTAACATTCGTGGACTCACCCAACTTAACTCATGAAAGGAAAGGTTGTTGGTTTAGGGTCCAGGAAACTGCAGAAATGCCTTGGCTAGTAGAAGCTAACTGTAAGCATTAGCAACTTGACCACACAGCAGAAGCTCCTCCAGGTTATTTGTGGCGATAAAACATCAACGTTGCAAGTCAGTGGTAGAGTTGCATTGCTTTTATCCAATCCAAGGTGAGACATTCAAATATCAGGAAATAAGACTCCAAACCTGTTATCTGAAGCTCAGCTGTGATGTGGCTCATTTCTAGTTCCCCTAAATTGTACACCAGTGCTTTGTTTCCCCCAAGGCATTTGTTCTTACTAGAGACCACTGCTAATGTACTGATTAAATGAGTGCAGCGCCTTTAAAGCGTAAATATTTTTCATTTTTTATTCTAAAACTGAAAACTTTACCTGCTCAGCTTCTAATTCCCGGGAAGTATTCAGGTCTGAGAGGTTGGGTTTTTGTGTTGACAGTCAGGGCCACACCAACCCCTGGTGGTGATGCTCTGCTGCTCGGCTCCTGAGAATAATAATGGAAATGAAAAGGCCTTCATGGCCACTGGAGGAAACTTGCTGTCCCTTCTGCTTCATGAAAACAAATCACAGAAAACCCCGAGTTCACCTAATAAATATTAATATTCCTACACAGTCAACAGATACGTTAAACACTGCTGCTACTCCCTCGACACTTTTATGCAAGTCGCCACTGAGCTGTTGGAGAATACTAAGAGGTTTGGGGAAAGTGTCACAAATACAAATTTTATTTCTGTTGTGAAAAAATGTGAAATGTAACCGCTGCATGGAGAGATAGATGTCAGATCGGTCATTTAACTAAATTAATGATTCACGCTGAGATAAGAGAGATTAAACATGTTATTTCATTTCCACACATTTTAGTTTTGTTTGATTTCTGGTTAAGTTCAGTTCAGGCTTCAGTAAGAAGATATAAAGAGTAAAAACATTTTTAGACAAGGAAGCTGCTGATTTTAGTTTTGAACTCAGATCCAAGAGTTGTGTGTTCTATTTGACTCTGTAATATTTTATTGGAGAAATTTTTGTACTTGATTATGTAATAAAAAGTGATTTTGTTATTAAATCTGCATTTCATTTAGGAAAAAAAACATGGCCTTCAATTACATAATTTCAGAATAAAATAAAGACAAATACGTAAACAAAAAAGAAAATCTTAAAGATCATTTGACAGCATTTAGAAATGAAAGGATAATTTGTTTTCATAAAACCAGTTTTGGAATTAAGTTCTGAAACTCAAAATTTCGAGTTTATCCAAAGGCACCTGCACGTGCTTTCGTATCCACTAGGGGCGCTGCTGCTTCTCACAAACGGAGCTAATGAATTAAAATAATAATAATAATAATATAATAATAATAATAAAAGACCCACCACGAGACATTAAACTGTGACCCAAAAACAAAACATGATTACTTCAAAAATGTTGGCCGTGAATTTGAAGCTTTTATCTTTATTGCTCTTTAACCTTTAACGTGACGTCATTTGCTCATCTGGGCACCTGAGCGGGGTACGTTGTTCAAACCGCATCAACCTGTTTCAATTAGTGGCGCGTGGTTATTATTCCAAGGAAAACACAGAATAAGGTAAGAAAATCCTCATTTTTGTTTTTTAGAACATTTATTAATAGTTTTAGTTTTTCTACCGGCTTAAAACTTTAGCTTTAACAACAAGTGTCTCCTGTTCTGAACGTTTATTAATCTTTTTGGTCCTCGCTGGAGTTTTAAATCTCAGAACATGCTAGAGGGTGTGTTTTCTGTGTGCTGGAAATTGTAACAGAAACTGGTCTTAACACAATAACGGTAACTTGTATGAGACAAGGAAGTGAAACATTCTAGTGAAAGGTTATTAAAATATTTTTCATATCTTGACTAGGGGTGGTGTTACGTTTTCTGATGGTGTGAAGTCCCTCTTTAAAATTGCATTTGCAAAACCGAACAATTCAGAACTTCTAATGTGCAGATTAATCAATTTTATACAGTTTAATTCTATTTGAGTGCATGCGTTTATTCAGAATTGTTTATTTAGCTCCTTGTTGCCACGTAACTAAATCGGATTATAAAGCTGCAGCTGCTGAATGTTAATTCACCAAACTGACAGTTAAAACAAGCAGCAATGGAGCAGTTCCGGTTCTGTCGTTTCAGTTTTATACCCAGAAAAAAGCACAAGAGGGTCTTTTAAGCAAACCATACTGTGTTTTTACATATTTTGCACTAAAAGTTAAATGAATGGATTTCGCACCAAGCAGAGTTACCACACACCCTTCCATTCACAGAGCAACAGAAAGACTTGCTACTGGTCCTTGCCAGAACTAAATATAAATGAATTAAAACACACCAAGTGCTGAGCTGAAAGCACTCGGTGTTTAGTGGTCTGTAAACTTCAGAAAACATTTTCCTTTTTTATTTTCTGCTCTTGTCGGGCTGTGCAGTGGCTCAGTGGTTAGAGCTGCTGCCTTGCAGCAAGAAGGTCCTGGGTTTGCTTCCCAGCCTGGGATCTTTCTGCATGTTCTCCCTGTGCATGCGCGGGTTCTCTCCGGGTACTCCGGCTTCCTCCCACAGTCCAAAAGCATGACTGAGGTTGATTGGTCTGTCTAAATTGTCCTTAGGTGTGAGTGTGTGGATGATTGTTTGTCCTGAGTGTCGCTTGGGCCACTCCCATCTGTACCGGGTCGGCCCGGGCCGGGTAGCCCCAGTCGGCCCCAGCCTGGCCCGGTTGATTCCACACATCCTTGCCTTAAGCCCATGTGGGCTGATTCTACCCACCAGTCAGAGGCTTGCTCTAATGGAAGGTGTGCATTTGCTGTCAGCAGTGGGTGTGTTGGCCCTGGTCGGCCTGAAGCAGACCCCCTCGAGAAGAGGGCTGAGAATGAGCCTTGGTTGGCCCGGAAAAATACCAGGCCACCCAGATATGTAAACAACCTACGCTACCCGGCCCGGGCCGACCCGGTACAGATGGGAATGGCCCATCTGTTTGCCCTGCAATGGACCCCACCCGGACATCTGCTCTTGTGTTAGAATCCTGACTAGTCACCTTTACGTTCCAGTAAAACCTGTAAGGATGGTGCATCTGTGGAATGGGCAACACAGCTAACTGTGTGGGTAAAGCCCTAAAAAAGTTGGAAAACCCATTGTAATATAGTCCTGTTGGGATTTAGTCATCTTCAGTTGCTTGTTGGATTGGACGAGTGCAGTTTTCTACACATGGTGGTGATTTTTACACTTTAGTCATCCCATTCATCAACCCGGAGTGGCTGAAGGTCACCCTGTGTGGTGTTAGTCATATGCTGTTTGTCCAGCAGCATGTGCATGTGGAGGTGCATTGTGATGATCCTAAGGGAATAGCAATGTCATCCTGGAGGATGTAATTAGGTCTCAGATCCTGGAATTACTGACATTGACTTCAGAATCTCATTCAATCATGACATCAAGTTGTGTGGTGCTCATGGGAGAGATGCCGCCACCTCCAGGTCAAGCAACCAGTCTTCCCCAGGCCTTCTGCAAACAGAACCTGAAGAAGAGTTTGTCCCACATTCTTTAGTTTCCACTGTCTGACATCAGACTTTGTAACATGCAAGTCCTACCTGTGCTTCTCTACAAGGAAGCCTACAGTTCCTTGGTGAAGCATCATCTTGGGATGTTATTTACCTGAGTGACCTTTTCAGTCTGTTGTTGACCCAAGTGTGAAGAATGTACCAGTTGAACAGGCCTTGTGCTGGTGCTTGGAGCATGCACAAACTCCACAAAGTGAAATTCACTTGTGTTTTTCAATAGCTGTGGTCTCCAGTATGAATGAATACCTTGTGAGTTGTTTTCTGTGGGGAAACGAAAAGCTCTGGTGCTCTTGTTTCAGGAGATTGGAGATTGTGATGGGAGAGGGTGTTGTTGAATAGGGCTGCATCATCAATGAATCGGATGGGGTCTTGACTCGATTAATTAAACTGGAAAATTAAAAAACTGCTAAGGAAACCTTTTTTTCTCCTTCCTTTACTTTAACAACAGCACATGATTAGAAAACTGATCAATAGCATGATCAGTGAAATTTAATGTATGTTCAGTGGTAAGCTAATGGAAATGCTAATACCATTTAATTTCTACTGCTAAAATTGTAATGGTGACATGTCTATTATGTACAGGTCAGCAGTAATCCAGTTTAAATGATGTTTTGAAGTCCTGCAGCGGTGTTGAGCAGACTCGAAGCAGCAACCTGACTGCAGCAGTTCTGCTCCAGATGCAGACAGCTAAGAATAAACAGGATGGTGGGGACTTCTTCCGCTGGTAGAGTTTAAATATTCTTAGTTTCACAACCATCATGTTTTTTTCAGAACCCACTAGATCGTTACCTGCTAGCATTAGCTAATCGGCCCGTAGTTGCACTTTTGATCCCGAAATTTGGACTATTTCTGCCTTTGTGTCTT